ATAGCAAAGAAAAGACTATTCATTTATCGAAAGGTACTTTAGAATTACATAGAGTGAAGCGATCACGTTCTAAGTTCGGAAAAGCTGTGTATTTTTCTGGAAAACAAGTATTAAAGTTATCTCATGCTAATCATCATATCAATTTAACGGACATAACGGACTCTTTTACTGTGGAATTTTGGATCAAGCCAGAAGGTGGACAACACAATCCAGCCACAATTATAGGTAAGGTCTTCAAGTTATCTAAAATTTTTTGAATCTGTTACTCGAATGGATATGACACCTACTTTCGATACCAAAGAACAAGTAGTTATCACAGGTAACTTAAGCTGCATTTACTATATTGACCCATAATATCGCAACCGTTATCTTCATTGAAAGACACTTTAAGCTGAGTCGGCAATTTTTTTGACAGAGCGCAAGCTTTCTCTTTTTATACAACATTTTTTCACTCATGACCATCTGAAAGTAGAAACTGTTTCGTAAATAGTAACCTGCTACATATACTTATTTAAATATTACATAATAACACATATTGGCAATCATCGTAATCTATAAACATGTATCTAGATCTCGAGGTATTGGGGTACCAAAAACACCCCACGAGGTAGCAAAAAAAACAAAGATTTTAGGAAATGCTGTAGTGTTATATGATGAACCAATTAGTCAGAAATCTATCTTTGTAATAACAAATTATATCTAGCTCTTGATCTCCAGTTTGCCTATGACGGACGAAGAGTTGCTCAGAGGAAGCGGATAAGGGAATACGAGTACTTAAATTGCATGGAACGTAGGAATTATATCATTATTATTAATGTGAAGGGTATGGTAGATATCGTTTGAGAATAATGATTCATTTGGTATTGAATGATTCCCCAACGCATTCGCCAAGTGTCTTTGGCAACAATAGAATTCTATAATCCCCAAAATAATGGGATCTGAACTGTTATTAGCTTTTATCAGCAACAAAACGCCCTTGTAGCGAATTTTCCAGATTATTGAATTATGATATCCTTAAATTGCGCATGAACAATGTGCTCTTACTTTTTATCTAACACATTTATTTAAATGTATTTTAATCATATTGTCAGTTCCGTACAGAAAGCTAAGTTTTCCCAATACGACTTTGTAGGTGAACTGGAAAATAGGCTTTTTAACTTAAAAGGTGATAAAGTTTTGAATGAGGAAAAGCACAAACGTATTGGCCTCGTCCCTATCGATATCCAACTCTGTATACATATTGATTATGCACATCCACGGGCATCCTGTCCGAGCTACATAGTAATAGTATATTCCATTTAATCCCTCTCCATAATCTATCTATGTCATTGACAAGGTTACTCAACCTATGCTTAGATTCGAGGTTGATTTGCGTGCGTTACAATTTTTGTTATTCATTGCATTCAATATTCGTCCCTCTTTGACGAAAACACTCATGCCTTCAAAAACCCAAATCAAATGCCGAAAATGGACAAGGCAGGATGTTTATCTCCATTAGTTTCATAGTGGTATGGAGAAATTTCTATATATATAGCGGTGATAAAAGCCATACAGAGATAATTTTCATGTCCATTAAAACCATTGACGTCAATTTGAATCTAGCCATTCCACCCTCGCCTATGATAAGCGCCCATCCTTACACTTCAGATCAGCGTAACCTATTGTTGGGTGTAATCTGTACGGATTAAGATAATCTTGCAACAGATCAGACCTTCAAAGACTATGACGTCAATAAAAGTTGTAGAAGGATAGTAGACAAGAACTGGTCTATATAGTATTTTCTATTCTTGTCTTACCAGACGCTGACTCATTGACTAGACAGTCGGTGTAATCTTACTGACCGTGTTACATTATCAAGCTAGGTTAACACTGGTCTGGACAGTACTGACCATTATGGTCAAGCAGAATGCTATAACTTTCACCACTTTCAGCTTCATTTTCTCGCTATTTGTACAACACGACAACAATATGCAGGTTTGACATATCCTCGCGATGGTTAGGGTATAAAGAACTTCGTCTAATACCTTGACTACAATAACCACTATTATTGTATCACATGAATGATTGATTTGATTGTACGCCAGCGAATGCAGTCTATCAGAGCGAGGTAGAGTCTAAACATTATGGCTTATTGTTAACAGACTTCCATTCCATTTAAATCGCTGCATTCACATACTTTATTGATCCATTAATAGAGGCTATTGCATTCAAGGTATACGACGAAGACACCATGAAGATGTGTTTGAAACTGACTGCTCAGCTGTAATAGAATGTATGTGCATTAAGAGCAGATAAAGAACAGATTATTTTAACACGTGGGATTTACAATGTACTTGATAGTACTTTTCCATCAAGTTCAGAAAGGTAATATTTGAAACACGAAGTTCGGTCAAAATTCAAAACAAAAAGATATACAATGGAATAAATGTCCTAACTCCAATCCTCACGACTCGCCATCAGTTAAAATCCTTGACCATCATAACAGACTCAGTCAGTATTTGATGACTGTCTAATTTTCAATGATTATGTTGGTTGTATTCATTATATCAGGTTTATAAAACTGCACAGTTGTACAATAACATTAGAACGTATCACAATAACCTGAAGAGAACCTATTAACCCTCTTTAGCCTATATATTATCTGTCTAGCCGACCAGGCTTCCAGCATTCAAATAAAAACACATCAAAGAGTTCAAGATTAATGCGTTAACAAAACTTTTAAGATTCTCCATCGTTTCAAAAATCTGGTAAAATTATTGTCAGTTTCTTTTTGCAAAATATAATTTCATTGAAGTTTTCTAATGTTGCCTTTATCTATACATGACCAGAGACTAAATCCTATTTTCTTCAACCAACAGGTTGTTTAATACGATTTTTGACAAAAATGTGTTACGATTGATGTTTCACCTATTGGGGTTACTTTAATTAGAGCGAAGCGTTAACAAATTGAAAACTCCCTCCTAGACGTTTTCTTTTTCTTCTGATGTTCCCCACCCATTCAACGACAAAATGCTATAGTGACATCTTACAGTGAAATTCAATTCCAGATATTTAGTCAGAGTTACAAGGTGTGGTGGTCAACTGGTAGTCTGTCGACTAATTTATGCCTGGACAAATTTTTAATATGACTTACTGTTGATAAATATTTCCGGTAGGACCACTTGTTGATGGGACCAAACTTTCGACTGAACATGTTAGACCAATGTTGCCAATCGGGTCAATTGGCTGTCTGAATAATAGGGCATGGGATCAATATTGTCGGTGGGACTAGAAAGACTGCTTAACAATGGTTGTCGTTGGGACATTGCACTTCGAAGAAACCACAACTGTGTAGTTGCTACTTTAACTGTATGCCTACTTTCCGATCCGTAATATTTACTGAACAGGTGTTTTCAACATAATATTTTCCCCTGCCGAGTAAGACATGACTTCAACCAACGATTGTAAGTCTTTAACATCTTATCACTTATCACGACAGTCAGCAAAATGTCATATCATTTCTCATGTGACGTCATGCGATCAGTTTTTATTGTTAAAATAATTTGTTATTTTCTTTTAAAAATGAGGCAAATTCTTGCTCTGTTTTTAAAAATTGTTCACGATAAACTGGATTTGCGACCTTGGCTAGTACTTTCTATTTATCGTGTTCGTCTTAAGTGACAATCGTCAGTCTTCTATAGTCTTACTTTCTGACTCCTATGGATTTTTTGGTGGTTAGACTCAGAACGTTGTGAACACTACAAATCTAAAAGAAAAGGACACTTATTTTGAAAGATGACAATAACTGAGATGTTTAGTAGTCATAGAGTCAGCAAAGATATCTCCTACAGTATCAACATAAAAAATAAAAGTGAATAACAAGAAAGAAGATTTCAAACCTATTTTTGTCAGAATGTAACATAACTTGGTTTCAGTAAAGTTTCTCTATCTTTTGAAGAATGTAACCTCAAAGGATTCCAAAAATACACAGCGTTTTTAATAATATTTTTTAAGTACATCTTCAATAACACACCTATATAGGTAGTGGGTGGCATGATTTTCTTCATATACAAAAATTGTTTGTGTATCGTTGACCTAGGTTATAACTTGAAGAATAAAAGTAAGAGAGTTGCACCCGATATCACAATTTTTGACTTCCAAAACCACCCATGGTGTATATCTTGATGCATAGCTTGTAGTCAATAGCTACTTGAAGTTTGAATGAAAAGGGATGAGATTTACCCTTGAACAAACTTATTTTAAGGTTACAAGTACATACTTCATTTTAGTTCGTACAGTCCAATGAGCTTTGTAGAGTGACATGAATGGAATTTGACTTTTTCAGCATGGTATAGAAATGAACTGTCTTATAAGTAGTCATTTTGCTGTACTTTTATATCCTGGACTGGGAGGGGACCCTGCTTGAAATTATATCACATGTTTTAAAATAATGAAAACTGGTGATCAACCACTAAATGAATAAATATAAATTATTCGGGACTGGGATGCCAAACCAAGAAAAGCGCAATAGAGAAAACTTCATGATTTGTTAAGAAAAATAAATTGCAGTAAATGGTTTTACATTTTTAACGAATTTAACTCAATGGTGTATATCAAGGATGATATCGTATACTAAGTATTTTCTTTTTATGACCAACACCATTTTAAACTCTGAAAGAACAAATTGCACCACCGATACGTGGCTATCTTTTGACCCGGAATTTATATTTCAATATTAACCTCGGATCAAATATTTAAGCATTAATACCAAGGAAATCCCCATTACATGAAGGTTTGTGTAAAATTTATCTACCAGGTATAAAGGGCCTGTTTCCTAAAATTTAAACTAAGATGTATTCAAGATTTTAAGATATTAAGTTATCTGAATGATTTATACAACTAAAATCTTTGAGTAAAGCTTTCGTGAAACAGATCCGAGGGTTTTTGCATCTACGTCACACTTGACATCCAATCCTAAGATCCTAACATAAGCTTAAATTTTGAATATTTTTATTCCAGAAATGGTGGATTCTTGTTCATTCCACGAGGAAAGGTCGGGATGGTCGATTGGTATTTCGACGCCAGTCTCTGATAGTGAACGTAACGCTAAAATATATTTTTCATTACGATGTGGACGTTCACGTAAAAGCACCTTCATTTATGCTCATTCCTCATTTACTCCCAATAAGTGGGTTAACATTGCTGTGTCATATAATGGTTCAGAAATGGTTTTATTCATCAACAAAGCTAAAATCTCAGTCAGTCATGAACAAATCGGTGACATCTTTCCATTAGTTAAACATTCTTGTAGAATCTTTTATCTCGGTGGTGCTGAAGGAGATCGTAAGGCCTTTCGGGGAACTATTGATGAACTAAGCTTGTGGAGCACTGCATTACCTCATGGAGCTTTAGCTCGAACACTTGTTTCGTCTAATCTAGTTTTAAAAGACAATTTCGACGACGTCAAGCGATGGACAATGGCAACGGGAAGATCCGTAGAAATAGTTTATTCCGATATCCAAGAGAATTCAGAAGTAGAATTAGAAGTTCCACCATGTGGACAAACTATATGTGATAATCCGGAAGTAGTTTTAAGTTACTCTAATAATTGGCTTTTACGGACTCCAAAGACAATCCGTTATAGAATCGTCAATTTGATGAATGACGACGGTTCACGTCCAACAGTTTTACATCCACAAATCCAAAAACAACACGAAGTTTTAAATAATGCATATCGACCTTATAATATCAGTTTTGAGCTAAACGTGGCAAATATACGAAATACCTCACTTAATTCGAGATTTATGATGTTCGGATGTGATCCGTCCGACATCGGAAACGGACAGTGCAATGAAGAGTGTAAACATGCTAGGACCGGAAATGACGGAGGTGACTGTTATCCAATAGATATAGCATGTGATCCTGTAAAGCTAGGTAATGGTCAATGTGATTATGAATGTAATCGTCGTAATTATGATTGGGACGCTGGTGATTGCTGTATACCTGGTAACAACACCCATTTTACATGTTACAACCCTTCTTCATCTCACAGGTAAAGTGATTTTCAAAATTATACAAAATTTAAATTCTAACTAACATCACAACGCCAGCAATACTTGTCTGAAACTCCGTCATAAGAATAATAACATAAGAGACATAAAGCTTGGCTGGATTGTCAACAGTAGGTTTTGTGTACAAACCAAAACAACGACTGTACAACTATAACAAACATTGTCACAACGATTTCTTTAACCGGACATGCAGATGTTGCCAAATCACGAAATCCCATTTTCCATAGTAGATGTTAACATTGTGGTTTGTATGATCCCGTGATAATGTAACTAGACTTTTTTATGCAACAGTTACATCACAGCAACTCAATCTTATTACTAGATATATACAAGTCATTTTATTTCCAGGGGCTATATGAGTGTTGTAGAGTTAAAAGAAATTCTCAGATTTGATAGTCGTTCCCATTTAAATGTTTATTTGGTGGCGTGGACAACTGGTGATATGATTGGTGTGGCCACATTCCCTTGGGAGAAACATGTTTATTCTGTCCAAGGTACGTCTTTATAATTTAATTTACACGATTTCTCAGAGAATCCTATTATGTTCATCAGATTAGAATTGTGTCACAGATCTAGGAATGCTCGAATTTAGCTCGAGATACAGCAATCAAATTAAGCCATATCTCGAGATACTCCAATAAAATTTAAATTCAACTGGAAACACAGCAGGCAAATTGAGATACATCAATAAAGTTAAGATATAGCTCAAGATACAACAATCAAATTTAGGCATAGCCCGAGATAACATAATCAAATTTAGAAACAGCTCGAGATATATCAATAAACTTCCAGATACAACAATCAAATTTAGATTTAGCTCAAGATACAACAGTCAAATATAGATATTGCTCGAGATACAACAATACAATTGAGATATTGCTCGAGATACAACAATATAATTTAGATATTGCTCGAGATACAACAATATACTTAAAATATAGCTCGAGATACAACAATACAATTGAGATATTGCTCGAGATACAACAATATAATTAAGATATAGCTCGAGATACAACATTACAATTGAGATATTGCTCGAGATACAACAATATAATTTAGATATTGCTCGAGATACAACAATACAATTAAGATATTGCTCGAGATACAACAATATAATTGAGATATTGCTCGAGATACAACAATATAATTAAGATATAGCTCGAGATACAACAATACAATTGAGATATTGCTCGAGATACAACAATATAATTAAGATATAGCTCGAGATACAACAATACAATTGAGATATTGCTCGAGATACAACAATATAATTTAAATATTGCTCGAGATACAACAATATACTTAAGATATAGCTCGAGATACAACAATACAATTGAGATATTGCTCGAGATACAACAATATAATTAAGATATAGCTCGAGATACAACAATACAATTGAGATATTGCTCGAGATACAACAATATAATTTAGATATTGCTCTAGATAAAACAATATGATTTAGGTATTGCTCGAGATACAACAATATAATTTAGATATAGCTCGAGATCAAGCAATATAATTTAGATATTGCTCGAGATAAAACAATATTATTTAGATATTGCTCGAGATACAACAATATAATTTAGATATTGCTCGAAATACAACAATATAATTTAGATATTGCTCGAAATACAACAATATATTAAGATATAGCTCGAGATACAACAATATAAGTTAGATATAGCTCGAGATAAAACAATATAATTAAGATATTGCTCGAGATACAACAATATAATTAAGATATAGCTCGAGATACAACAATATAATTAAGATATAGCTCGAGATACACCAATATAATTTAGATATTGCTCGAGATAAAACAATATGATTTAGGTATTGCTCGAGATACAACAATATAATTTAGATATTGCTCGAGATAAAACAATATTATTTAGATATTGCTCGAGATAAAACAATATAATTAAGATATTGCTCGAGATACAACAATATGATTTAGATATTGATCGAGATACAACAATATGATTTAGATATTGCTCGAGATACAACAATATAATTTAGATATTGCTTGAGATAAAACAATATGATTTAGATATTGCTCGAGATAAAACAATATAGTTTAGATATTGCTCGAGATACAACAATATAATTTAGATATTGCTCGAGATACAACAATATAATTTAGATATTGCTCGAGATACAACAATATAATTAAGATATAGCTCGAGATACAACAATATAATTAAGATATAGCTCGAGATAAAACAATATAATTAAGATATAGCTCGAGATAAAATAATATAATTTAGATATTGCTCGAAATAAAACAATATGATTTAGATATTGCTCGAGATACAACAATATAATTAAGATATAGCTCGAGATACACCAATATAATTAAGATATAGCTCGAGATAAAACAATATAATTTAGATATTGCTCGAGATACAACAATATAATTTAGATATTGCTCGAGATAAAACAATATAATTTAGATATTGCTCGAGATAAAACAATATAATTTAGATATTGCTCAAGATAAAACAATATAATTTAGATATTGCTCGAGATACAACAATATAATTTAGATATTGCTCGAGATACAATATAATTTAGATATTGCTCGAGATACAACAATATTATTAAGATATAGCTCGAGATACAACAATATAATTAAGATATAGCTCGAGATACAACAATATAATTTAGATATTGCTCG